CGCTCTTAAGGACCTTCCCTTTGATAATCATAAACTCTTCCGTGACAAGATGGATGGATCCTCCCACTCCCTTGAGGATTCCCACGTCACACTGTGGTCGCTTGGTATCTACACCCTGGCCCTGACCTGCAGGCAGCAACGGTCATCCTTCACCCCTGTGCCCTACCAGCCCTATTTTCAATGACCGCAGGAGCAGTCTTGCCAATGTCCATGCACTCAATGACCCCATTACCCCACCATTACCACTTCTGCTCCCTCAACTCTTCTGCAGCATCACTCCAAATGGCCACTTGACTCTTCCATTGAGACCAGCCAACCTCCTCCCATGCTGACCCTGATCATCCTTGAGGGCTGTCTCACCCTGTTCGCCCACACTTGGGGCAAGATCACCACCGATTGCTGGGCGCTGGACATCGTTCACCAGGGTACTCAATAGAGTTCCTCTCCTTCCTCCCTCATCACCCACTCCATGGTGACGTGGAGATCCCTCTCATTGTGATCTTCTCTGAGAGGAAGCGGATGCCTTCCTCTGGAAGGGCACCATAAAATGTGTTTCCCCCATTATCGGGGCCAAGGATTCTATTCCCCTTATTTTGTTGTTCCAAAAAAGGGGGATGGCTGCGATCCCATTCTGGACCTTCGCTTGCTCAACAAGTTCATATGCAAATTCCGGTTCTGGATGGTCACGCTCACCGTCATTATTTCATCCCTCCTCCAGGGCTCCTGGTTCATGGCTCTCAATATTAAAGATGCATATTTCCACATCAACATCCACACGGCTCATCGGAAATTTTTCTATTTTACAGTGGGACACTCCCATTATCAGTTCTGAGTCCTCCCCTTCGGTATCACCACCGCTCCCTGCGTGTTCACAAAAGTTTTCACCATTGTTGCAACCCACATGCGACCCTTCAGCCACTCGGTATTTCCCTACCTGGATGATTGGCTCCTCATTGCAACGTCATGCACCTGCCTCCTTTCCACTATATAGACCCTTTGTGATCTACTCACCAGCCTGGGTATCTGTATCAACAAGGAAAAGTCAGTCCTCATCCCTACCCAAGAGATCACCTTTATTGGGTTGTACCTGGACTCTATCGTAGGCTGCACTTCCCTCCTGATGGACCGCTTTGCCACCCTCACATTTCATGACACCGTTACGCCACAATCCACACGCCTGTCTGCCAATGCCTTTGCCTCCATGGCCACATTGTGGCCTGCACCTCTGTAATGCCCCAGGCACAGCTCCATATGCAGTGCTTTCAACTTTGGCTCCAGTCAATCTGCAGACTTCAGACAGATTGTTTGGACAAGCTGGTCTTGCTTACCCGATTTGTCCTGGCTTCCTTCACGTGGTGGTCTGATCCATCCAACATCTTGATTTGCATTCCAGTCACCCTTCCCGCTCCCTGCTCCACTCTCACCACAAACACCTCCCTCACAGGGTGGGATGGCCATCTGGATGGTCACACAGCCCAGGACCTCTGCACACCACAAGATGCAAGGATGCACATCAACTTCCTGGATCTCCAAGTTGCCTGCTTTGTCTGTCAGGCGCTCCTCCCCCTCATAAGATCACGGGACTTTCAGTTGCTGTCAGACATGTCGGCAGTTGTGTATATCAACAAGCAAGGTGGCACCAGGTTACCCTCTCTGTGCAGAGGCTGTCCACCTCTGAAACTGGTGCATCAAGCACGGGGTCACACTGCATACCATGCACCTTCCAGGCACCAGAAACTCCTTGGCAAGCACGTTCAGCTGGTCCTTCTATGCAAATCACGAGTGGAAGCTCCATGATCCCACACTTTTCTCCGTCTTCCACCGGTGGAGGACCCCGGCTTGGGACCCCTTCGCAACCACCGAGAACCACACACTCCTCCTCTTCTGCTCCAAAGGGGCCCTCGGGACGAGCTCATGGGGCGACACTCTTCTCCTGCCATGGTCCGTTGACTATGCCTTCCCGCCCATTCCCCTCCTCCCACAAATCCTCCACAAGGTGCAACAGGATCAAGCGACCGTCATCCTGATAGCCCCCTTTTGGCCTCACCAATGTTGGTTCACTGATCTCCTCCAGCCTCTCCACTCTCCTCTGATCTGCCTTCCCACCCACCTGGATCTCTTCACCCAGGCACAGCGACGCCTGCAGCACCCCAACCCGGGCCTGCTCCACCTTACAGCTTGGTGTTTGGATGGGGCTCATATGTAGACAGAACGTGCTCCACCCTGGTGCGTGGCATCCTCGTGCACAGCAGGAGGACATCTATCAGCGCCTGCTATCAAGCAAAGTGGATACATTTCATCGCCTGTGCACACCACCACCATTATCCACTGGAGAGTCTCTACTCCCATCCTCCTGGATTACCTTCTCCATCTTAAGTGTTGTACCTCGCTCACTCATCCATATGGGTCTACCGGGTGGCACTCGGTGCCTCTTCCCCTCCCTCCTCCCCCCCCATGGACAGTTCCTCCACCTTCACTCACCCAACCACCGTTCGCTTCCTTCAAGGCTTGCTCAATGCCTTTCCACCAGTACGGAACCCCTCCCCCCATTTAGGACCTAAATATAATCCTCTGCCCTCACTAAACTGCCCTTTGAAGATCTTCTTGATGGCTATCACGTCGGTGCAGTGCATTAGCGAGCTGGTGGTTCTGATGGCTGACCCCCACCCCCGCATACATCTTCCACAAAGTTTCCCTGCGCCTGCACCACAAGTTTCTCCCCAACATGATCTCCCCGTTCCACCTCAACCAAAGCATCCACCTTCCAGTCTTCTACCCAAAACCGCACACCACCTCCAGAACGAAAACAATGCATTCTCTCAACGTCCGCCAGGCACTAGCCTCCTGTCTCCAACACACCCGTGCCTTCCAGGCTTCGCCCAGGCTCTTCGTCACCATTGTTGAATGTTGCAGGGACCAGGCCCTCTCCTCCCAACACATCTCTAAATGGATCTCCCATTGCATTGTGGACTGCTATGCTCTCACATTCCTCCGCCTCCTGGAGTCATGGCTCACTCCACGCAGGCACAGGTTGCCACGTTGGCCTACCTCACGGACGTACCTTAGCAGAACATTTGCAAGGCAGCCACATGGACCTCTGTCCACACCTTTACCACTCACTATGCCACCACTGTGGATGTGTCTGTCGGCTGAGCTGTCCTGCCGCCTGGGTAACTTCATGCAAGTCCACGCACCCACCTCCATGCTGAGCACTGCTCACTACTCACCCACATCTGGACTCCATGTAGGGACCATCACTCAAAGAAGTTCTTTGAGATGTGTGGTCCCTATTTGGTTCCAATACCTGTCCTCCATCCCCTCTGCTGCGGACTCCATTGCTTGCAAGTAAGAGAGAACTGGAGCGGCGTCAGCTGCATGGCCTTTTATAGCCTCAGACACAGGCATGCGGGCGGCTCATGTGCAGATCAACAACACTACTAGAAAATAGCTCTGGCATATGGCGCGCATGCACACCCATGTCTGTAATCCAAATAGGGTCTATACATCTCAAACAACTTCCAGTTACAGTAAGTAACTTTTTCTTCCTGCGTCTGTCAGGAGGGCTGATGTGTCAAATGGCACAGCTGGAATGGATTCATTGATAACTTATAGGCTGTGCTCAAATCTGGCAGCCACAAAGACCTGCAGCTTGTCTCGGAATGGGTGTTGGACTTGCTCCTCCCTGGATCAAGAAAGGGATGCTGGAGCCTCTGTCAGCTGCTGAGCCCTGAAGAAAGCCTCATCCCTTAGCAGTGTCTCACAGGGCTAAGCAGCTTCTACTTGAGCCATTGTGTCCTGATTCTTGACCCTCTAGCCCAGCATTGAGCACTGCCCAGTCCGGCATCGGGGGATGGGGGGGCCTGCATCTTCTTGTGCTACCTTGCGGTAAAGACTCCCAAGGGCTTCCTGAGGGAAGAAGCTGCAGCACAACACAAGTGCAGTGGAGAAACTTGTTGGATAGACACAATTCATGAGAGGAGCAGCCATGACATGGGGAGCTGCATTGCAGATCTCTGGCTATCACTCTGGGCCTACACAAGCTGTGAGCACTGAGGGGAAAGGGGAAGGAACAAAGGGAGGGAATGAACTAGGAAGGAAGAGGAGAGCAAAAGATGGGAGTTGGGGCACCAAAGGGGAGAGAAGGGACCGCAAAGGTGGGGGTAGAAAGAACAAGCAGGTAAATAAGAGACATTGAAGGCAGGTCCGTGTGAACAAGGAATGGACAGCATCTGATCCTGGCACAGTGCTGGGAAGGAGCAGTAGTGCCCACCCTATGTGGGGAGGGGGGCAGGACAGTATACGGGGAGGAGTGGAGTGGGGACTGGGGGGGGTACGATAGGGAGGGGAGCGTCGTGTATGTGTAGGGAGGGCGCTGGGGGGCCCAGTGCATGCTTATTGCCCCCACACCAGATTTGGCTGTGCATTGCTAGCCAAGAGGGTCTGTTCTGCACATATGCCTAACACTGAAAGCTTGAGTTGGGGACAGATCTGGTTGAGGGGACTCCTGGGCCTTCGGAGCAGAATCATCTGTCCTGCCCCAGACTGTCAAGGTGGCAGCTTCCTGCTCACACTGGTGTACATCTCTTCAGGGTCTTGTTCTGTGTAATTAGCATTTAAATTCATTGATGTCCTAGCTTGACTGCAGCTTTCCTGGAAAGGTCACCTAGTTCCAGTGTAGCTTCTGTCACTGAATCAGTTCCTCCTGCTCACACCCTGGGGTGTTCCTCACTGAATCACTGAGTGCTCAGGCTCCAGCAGTTGGTGGCTGAGGGTGGAGAGGAGGAAGGGTCCTTGTTTCCATTGAGTGGTTGTACTCCAGTGTGAGCACGGGCTGCTAAAGGCACTTTTTCTCCACTGGGAATGGGCCTCTTGCATTTGCACAGCAAAGTTGAAAGGGAGGGAGGGCGGCAGCATTAGGCAAATGGGCTTTTCTGTTGTTCTTCAGTGCTCTTAAACGGGCATCTTTCATGTGCTGACCTGGCCTCTTCTTTCTCTCTCAGGTTCGGAAGACTCCCAGGATGAAGCTGCTGTGAGGAGCTTGAGGGGCCAGCACACAGGCTTTCAGGGCTCCCTTTCTGAGTGGAATACAGTATTGGAGTCTGCAGGAAAAATGACTGTGGGATTTGTACTGCTTCCCCCTCTGCTGGGGAGGACTTTGCTTACGCTTCTGGTGGTGGTTACCTTTGTTCAATGCCATTGGCCCAGTGAACCTTCCGAAGTTGTACAGGACTGGGAAAACCAGTTAGAGGCCTCCATGCATTCTGTGCTGTCAGATCTCCGTGAGACGGTCCCAGCAGTGGTGGGGATTCCAGACAGCTCTGCTGTGGTGGGACGCTCCTTCAGAGTCACCATCCCCACAGATTTAATTGCTTCCAATGGAGAAATGGTGCAGGTGAGAAATGCATCAGCCAGCCTCATATCTCACAATTCCCTTCCTTGCAGTCATGCCCTGGGGAGGGACTGGGCCTGTCTCCGCACCAGTGTGACACATGGGTTTGGACGGATAGGTCATAAGTGGTCATGATTCAGACGGGAGAAAGGGGGAGGCTGTTGGATTTGGTGATAGCTGGGAGGAAGAAACGTCCATTTCCCTCTTCTGGAAATTCACTGTGTAGTGCCCCCTCTTCACCTGGTTACCTTATTTAATGCCAATCTGCTTACAGGTGTTGATGGACAGGTCTGGGTTCTTCTGGATCCCGCAACTCACTCAGCAGGCTGTATCTTCTTTATTTTTTCCTATGAATTTATTTGGCGGTGCCTCCACCCCCCTCGCTCCTTCCTGGCAGGGTCACCAGGGCAGCTTGGGAGGAAAATTCTAATTACAGGAAGAAGAACAGGAGGACTTGTGGCACCTTAGAGACTAACAAATTTATTAGAGCATAAGCTTTCGTGGACTACAGCCCACTTCTTCGGATGCATATAGAATGGAACATATATTGAGGAGATATATATACACCCATACAGAGAGCATAAACAGGTGGGAGTTGTCTTACCACCTCTGAGAGGCCAATTAATTAAGAGAAAAAAAAAAAAAAAACTTTTGAAGTGATAAAAAACCTAGCCGGGTAAAGACAGACAGTTAGATAACAAGGGTGAGAATACTTACAAGGGGAGATAGATTTCAATGTTTGTAATGGCCCAACCATTCCCAGTCCTTATTCAAACCAGAGTTGATTGTGTCTAGTTTGCATATCAATTCTAGCTCAGCAGTTTCTCGTTGGAGTCTGTTTTTGAAGTTTTTCTGTTGTAATATAGCCACCCGCAGGTCTGTCACTGAATGACCAGACAGGTTAAAGTGTTCTCCCACTGGTTTTTGAGTATTTTGATTCCTGATGTCAGATTTGTGTCCATTAATTCTTTTGCGTAGAGACTGTCCGGTTTGGCCAATGTCTAATTACAGGGTAATCCCCACTTACTTGCCAGATAGTTGGAGACTTTCAAGAAATAACACACACACATACAACATATTCAACACAATAATTATATTAAACAGGAGACAAATATAACATGACAGGGTAAAACACTATTGTTAGGGTCACCGGTGCCCACACTGATAATACCCGTGACTTTCCCCAGTCACGTGACCTGATGTAGCAAATATAAGATTAGTGTCCCGTTGATGCATGTACTTTTTGGGGCCCTTGATGATCTATGACCACAAAATTCTTCTCTGCAGTGGTTTAGCAGTGTGGCTGACTGAGTTCAGTACAGCCCAAAGGACTCTCAAGTAGGAGGAGGTGGTACGTCCCTCCACAGGTTTAATATGCATCAGGTTATAAAATCCCCAAATCCTTACTCCCTGGCTTGAGGACACAGTTCAGGGAGTAGGGGGTCCCCAAAACAAGTTCCCTGAGTGACTGACTAAAAGATGGTGCACTCACAAACTCCATGAATGATCTTCAGATTCAGAGCTGACTCTAGCTTCCTCAGTCACTGCAGAGAGGCTGATCTCTGTTGGCAGGGATCCTCTTCAGACAGGAGTCAGGCTGCTTCTGGTCCCAGAATTTCCCCTCACCACAAAGGGGTGCAGGGCTCAAGGTGCAGATTACACAACTATACTAAAATCTAAACTGTAGTTTCCTAGCCCAGCATCCAGACACACTCACAGCAGGCAGCAGCCCTGGACTAGCAGCCAGAGCAGAGCTGATCATATGGTGACTGGTTTCCCCTAGGGAGCTGGAAGGGAGGGCTAACTCAGCCTGGCTGGGGAAGTTTCCCAGCAAAACTCTACAAACTGGGAGTCATCAGTGAAGAGGGGAAAGCCCAGCTGAGGGAATCTTGCTTTCAGGTCTCTAGAGGCCAGTTCTCAGGGGGAACCCTGCATTGCAGGCCTGGGACTCCAGCTCCCCACACAGCCAGTCCTTCTCTTGCCCTGACTGGCTCCAGACTGACTCAAAAATGGCTTCTCCCCTTTCCTGAACTCCCTATTGGTTGCTGGGCAGACTCTGAGTCTGCCTTGGCTCCCTCTTCCTACCAGGGACAGTGTGCCTCTCCCTGAGCTGCCAGCAGACAGAGCCCCAGGAATCTAGGTAATCTCCTTGGGTGTTACAACTGTTTATTTCTTACTGAATTGAACTCCTTCATCCCAGAGTGAAGAATAGATGAGGTCTGATCCCCTCTGTAGGAGTTGATTTGGTTCAATATCTGGTTGCATTTAACCTGCCATGCACCCAGATGCCCGAGGAAGGGGCACATGAATCACTGAAGGACAGTGACCCTCAGCCTCCCATAGCCCAAATCCTTGATTGATCCTCTGATACCATGGGGTGACTTGTTTTACCATGGGAACAAAATATTGGGCACTGATGTGGTGCCATAGCCCAGACCCTGTTTTATGGCTATGGCTCTCAACTCCATTTGACACAGTGTGTCCTCCCCTCGCCCTATGTCCCGTGGGGAGAGCTGGGGACACTTCTTGTCTGAGAGGAGCTATGATCAAACCATCTGCCTGTCCACAAGCTTTGAGTCTATTGCCTTCAGAACTTCCAGGTGCTGTAGCTGCAAGAAATGGAAGTGTGAAAGTGACACTGGCTAGGCAAGGAAAGGATAGTGAGAGAGACTATCAGGATGTCACTATTCACTACTGGTGAGGAGTCCTCTCCAGGCTGGGTGCAGGGAAGACTGCTCCTGTGCCCCATGCTTTTCTAGATTCACTGACAGCTGGGGCTGGAGCATTTCCCAGTCTAAACCTGAGAGAATTATGTGTTTGCTATTTTTCAAGTGGTCAGAAAGGAACTGGGGGGGGGAGGGGGGCGAGAAGGAAGAAAATCTTGGACTTGTCAACTTCTCCTTATAGGCAGGTTTGCTCTAGAGCCAGAGGACACAGATCACAGCGCTAAGGAATCTGGATCAGGAAAGTGAAGTGTGAGTAGGTCCCATTTGCACTACTAAGAGTCCTGATGCTGAGGAGTGCCAGTGATAAGCTGGAGATCTAAAAAGTGAATCTGGAACACCTGGATTCTGGGTTGGGTGGGGAGGAGAAAGGTGCTGGGTGAGTTCCATGTTTAGAAGAGCTAGAGGACTGTCATCTGCTTTGAACTGAAGGCTGCAGCACTGTGGGGCTGATGAAAGTTGTCCAGGTGGAAGCTAGGACATGCCATGGTGGCCTGAGTCATGCTGCCTGCTCTCCTCATCTGACCACTGCCATGTGAAAGCCTGGTTCTTGGCTGCTTAGGACCCAAACTCCAGGGATTCTGGGGAGCTGCGGGTGCTAAACAAATTGACAGCTAGCATCATCTGTTTTATCAATGAAAATACAAGTGCAGGCTGTCGCGGAGTATTGGGGGACTCAGGGCCCTGCACCCCCGGCCTCCTGCGATTCACCATGATTCTCAGCCAGCCAGTAAAGCAGAAGGTTTATTTGGATGACAGGAATACAGTCCAGGACAGGTCTTGCAGGCACAGACAACAGGGACCCCCTCAGTTAGGTCCATCTTGGGGTCCCAGGGCATCCCAGCCCCCCTTGGGAGGTCAGAGCAATCTCTGCCTCCCCACCATCTCACCACCCAGCTTCCCAGACTCTGCCTTCAGCGACCCCTCCCACAGCCTTTGTTCAGTTTCCCGGGCCAAGGAGTCACCTGGCCTCTAACCCCTTCCTGGGTTCTCATGTTACATGCTCAGGTATTCGCCTTCGGGCAGACTATCCTCGCCACACTCCCCTGTCAGCATTCACAGACCACAGTAAGAACAGTCCCAGTTCGTCACACAGGCCAACAGTCAACTTTGGATTTTTGTCTCTAAATGCAGACTCCTGCTGATCAAATTCCCTGGCTTCCCAGTGCAGCCCAAGGTGTGAGCTGTTCTCTAGGAACCCCTATCTGTCTGAGAAACCACTTCCTGACCAGTGTCTCGTACTGGCTGCTTTACTGAAGTACACACCCTCTTTAACTAGGAATGCACGGGGGGGGGCCCTCTGGACAGGGTGTTCTCAGAGGAGCACATGTAGGATTGGGGGTAGCACTGACTGTCCATGTGGGGGTGTGGCAGGTTTGGGGGAGCACTGAGCACACATTCTTGGGATTATGGGGCAGATAGAGCATGCAGGGGCGATTGAACCTGCATGGAAGCACTAAGAGGTTCAGTAGCTGGATGTTGTAATGCTTCCCTGCCTCCCAGGGAAAGTGCTTCCAGCTCCTCAGCTGGAAGGTGCTGGAGGAGGGTTACTGGGCTGTGGTGCAGTGAAGTCTGAGTGGTTTTCAGGTGTGTCAGAGGACTAGTCTAAACACAGAAGTTGCACTTCAACTTAAATTGATTTTAAAATCAGACTTAGGCCTTGTCTATGTGAGACTTTCATGGGTTTACCCTACATTGATTTAATACGGATCTCTGCGCTGGTAAGGATGCATCCATACTTACTGTGTGTGGAGGACTTCCTTCCGAAGGAGAGGGGATTCATAGATT